GACCTTCGAAGGAGATTACTTCAGAAACAGCCTAAACACTAATGTTCTAATAAAGTCAATCGACAGCTGATTATGAGTAATCCGCCGTTGTCTTCCGGTGGGGTCAACCTTCGAATCTCTTCACCAAACATTCGAAATGTAAATAAGCCCAGCAATTATAAGAAAACAGATTCCAACCCAACTTTTCTTCGTATATACTACTATTATTAGAGTGAATGGTTTTGAAACCTACTCTATACGAATATTGCTTACTAGTGATCTCACAATAATTGTTTTTTGAATGAAATGATGACCAAATATCACTTCTCTTCAGATAAGTACAATGTAGGCAATCAGGGCAGAGTTAAGAAGGGCTCTAATGTGGATGCTAGATAGTTGGTCTAGTTTCTGCAGGGTGCTGGCTATAAGTGTTTGGCACTACTGTATTTTTGAGTGAAATCGGTGCAAGTTTTATTGCAATTACGATCACAAGATTATAATCGGATAGTTATATGATCGACTTATTTTACAGGCTGCTATAGGCTTAAAGCTGAGCAGTTCATGAGCTATTTGTCTGCGAAATACGAAATCGGGTGAAAGATTTGATTGTGGGAATCTACATCCTTACTTACTTTATTTCGCCTATATTTTCTCTGCAGATGTCCTTCGAATTGCAGATACTGCAGTGCCCGTCTCTACTGCTCTGGTTAGTAATGGAGCTGATAGTTGTAGAGAGATTCTGTCTTCCACTCGTCAAAATTTTAGTGCAATATGCCGAGAAACCGGACTTACATCAGGCCATCTCGATACCAAACATCCTGCTACTAATCCTGAGGTAATGTTTTCATTGGATAATGCAAAAGAAACTTCATGTTCGACGTCGGTGCTAGTTACTTCGCCAACCTTGAAGGAACTCGGGTCTGTTTCGTCTTCCACACGAAGTATCAGCAGTCGCATTGGTGCCATAATGCAACGAGCCACAAGCCGTGTTGAACAGGAGGAAGATATTTCTTCTGTTTCGAATGCCGTTAGGCCTCCACTCCTTCCTCATCCTGGCTCTGGATCACTTGGACTGCCGCTTGCTGGCCAATTATCTTTGCATCAATGTCCTCGCAGCTTCTCGTCCCCGGTAGGGAATTTAGGCTTTATCCGTCACTATTGCTGCTATGCCTTTTTAAATCCTTATCTTTATACTTTAGCGTTAACTGCTTCTTACTGATGATTTCATATTTTTAGCTAAAGTGGCCTTTCACTTAGGAAAAAATATATTTGTATATCTACTGTTTTTCCTGAGGTTATATGCATAAAATTTAGTATGAATATGTATAACGGCTTATTTTCCTCATATGAACATTCAACTTTAAACCATTTGTACTGCCTGTGCTCATAGCTAATCGAAGTTATGCAGGGAAAAAGTAGGTCTTTTTCTGGCAAAATTAAAATGCCTCCAGCCCTAGTTGCATATTAAAACATAATCACACATAAGTATCATTTATATTCCCACATTTGATTGTAATAATTTCACGAGACTTAAAAAGGCTTATTTAAATTAAATTGATTTGACAAATCGGCACTGCTTTTTTTTTAGGGTTGAGTTAATATTCGAAGGTATAGAGACCAATATAGTGTGGCCTTTTGCGTGGTCGCAGTCTCCTTTCGTTGTATAAAAGTTTTTTCACCTTGTTTTCGCAACTTAGTCATATTGGTAGGAAGACTTAGAGGAACGCATCTAGTCCGGAGTCCATTGTATGCATGATCATTCCCAGAGTCGGACCGTGGACGCGGTACATTCCCAGACGTTTCGCTGGCATCGTCAATGAGTCTTGCCATTCTTAGCACTACACTACAACTCGTCAAAGAAACAAATGAAGCCGATTCTGCTAAACAATCGTGGTATTTTTCCTTCCAGCCTAGGCTAATCACCAATCCTATATCCTCGATCACCCTTTCACTATCACAATTTTTACTTGCCTTTTTGAATGTAGTATGGTGTGCTCTTTTGTACGGCTTTCATGAGAACTTTCCACACTCCATGCTGGCTTTCTCACCCTCTTCACCCTTATGTTGGGAATGTTGATCAGAGGCTGCCTTATTGCCACGCCTTTCTCCTTCCCTAGGTCTTATCAGAGTCTCCCTCTTGCCCCGTAGAATCCGTCTGCTATTTCCCTGGTTCAAGTATTTCACTCGGCCCCTGCCACTGCATTTGTGCTACTCGAGGCCTTATTACCCACCTCATGCATCTGGGGGACTAACTAGAGGCTAAAAGGTTTGAGTAATTTTCATGGTCAAGCCTTTGCTACCTAGACCACGTCTATGGTAAAAACAGGCCTACTCTCAGCCAACAAGCTCCAGTCTCTGCCGCTTCTATCCTGTTTCTATCTGTAATACTAAGTCTACGACTTCCT